GAATCACATTCAAAGGTGGAAAGAGGCAGAAGGAAGGAGAAAAGAGCCATGTCTGTCCCTTATTTTTTAATAGGAAAGTCATCCCATCATCCCTGTGCCTTGACAAGCTCAGAAGGCTGGGGATAGGATGTTCATAGTTGACTTAGTTCTTAACTGAGACTGAACACATTGCCATGGGAATAAAATCACAGTTCTATCAGCATGGAAGGAAGTGGGCAAGCAACTGACAGTCTCAGGTCCAAGTGCCTAATGTGTATGCAATAGCATTGTACTAAGTGCTGTGAGGGATGAAAGGACAGAGAGATGGGGTTTTCCATCAAACTTTCCAGAAATTCTGTATTTCAATAAATATTCTCTTTTAAGACCCTCATCATAGAAGGGTACACTGTTATCCCATTGATTCTTTGGTCGCTCAAAGAGAGCCTCAGAAGATGAAGATTTGTCACATGTCACATGTGCTAGCAACTGTAAAGACCATTTCTAAAGAGTCATTTCTATAGTGACAGAACAATGATATGTTTGGGAATAAGTATCTCGTCAGTTTCTCCAAAGTGACATCTTTCTTAGATGTCCATGTTTTGTTGTTGTTGATTTTTTTTAAGTCAAATCAACCATGTTATAGTCACACCTCAAAATATCTTGCCTTTAACATGTTTATGAACTAGATGAGAAAACTAACAGGTGAATTGAGAGCAAACAACACATGACTATTTAGTATGGTAGCAAATTACATATTTCAGGCACTATGCTTTGAGAGTTCAGAACAGATGAAGATCAGCAAAGGTAGGCATGGCAGGAAAGGTGGGCAGCAAGGCAAAATCCTAGGTGGCCATGGAGGATGGCCTGACTGGGTTTCAGCCTGCATTTCCCTCCTCCATTGCCATGAAAGCCAGATTCCTCTAAAAGAGTTGCTTATCTTCTTTTTATTAAGTATGAATCACTTTTCATTAATTTATAGTTCACCTGTTAAGGTCTTGTGATTTTTACTTAGTAACCTTGATAAAAGGACTTTTAAAATAATTTTTAAAAGGATATTTATTTATTTATTTATTTGACATAGAGAGAGAGAGAGAGAGAGAGAGAACAAGCAGGGCAGCAGAGGGAGGGGGGGAAGCAGGCTTCCCATTGAGCAAGGAGCCGGATGCGGGACTTGATCCCAGGAGCCTGGGATTGTGACCTTAGCCAAAGGCAGATGCTTAACCAATTGAACCACCCAGCCGCCCTTAAATGATGTTTTTTTGCACAGTGTTTTATAGGGTGGGCTTTGCAGCCACACAGATCAAGATTTAAATCCAAGGTCTAGGGCTTACTGGCTTTGTGGTCTTATATCAGTTCCTTACCCTCTCTCATTCTGTTTCCTTGTTTAATAATAACCTGACTTAGGGCTGTTGTAAGACTGAAATAAGATGAAATAAGGGGAACACAGAGTACAGTGTCCCACCCGGAGAGAGTGCTTGATAATGGCATCTGCTGTGACAGTCACCACATTGATGACAGAGGCAATGGTGATATTAATATAAACCTATGGAAAGGGATGGATATGAGAGAGCCCCTACTTGGTTTTCACCATTTTGTCACTGTTAACTTTACATGAATGTACACTCACCAAGAGTAAATTACATTTCCCTTGACTTTTTAATAATCACTGCCTTAGAGAGAGCAAAGATGGATTTAGGTACTTAGGGAGGTTCTATTCTATTATCTGTGAAGGCACCAAACCACGTGACTCCGATTGCTGAGCAGAGACAAGAGGCAACATCTTACACGAGAAACTGGCAAAGGCACAAGAGATCTTGGAACATGTGCAATTAATTGACACTGTTTATTGGGGCTTGGAACCTAATCTAAAAGAATTTACACGTTAAATCGATGGTAACTGTCGATGAGCCTATGAGGGAATCCTTGCTAGGACCCTCTGGCTTTTACTGCAACTCCTAGTGATAATAACAAAAAGAGAAACCTCCCAAGCAGAAGGTCAATCTAATCCAATCACTTAATGCAGAGTTATGATACCAAATTTCCACATCACTGAATGACCATGGGTTTAGAGGTGTATGCCATAAAGTAACTGCGGGTGTTAGACATTTAACAAGTTGTTTTATTCCTAATTGCTGGCATTTGCTTAACTGTTTTCTTAATTCTAATTTATGTTTTTATGTTCCAGTTTGTTTACATAGCCCATAGTTCCCAATTGCCTTTATTTGCTTAAGTGTTTCTTTAATTTTATTTACATTTTTATATATGTTGCTTTGCTTACATAACTCATTGTTTTGGAGTGGGCTAGAAATAACCATAAATCCCCATTGCTAATTAGCTTCATCCTCATGACTGATTAGTCAAGATTATGAGCCTAGGAGAAGGGCAGGAAGGTGGCCTGATAGTGAGTCAGAGGATCAATGAATTTTAGAGCTGGAAGGAATTTAGAGCTTAAGGCATCCTTCAGAAAGAATTCCGTGGTTTTACGTCTTCCCTATTAAAGAATTGTGAGAAAGACTGGGTGCTTGCTCTTGCTCCTTTATGCAAAAATGTACAAGAATTTGGTGACAGCTTTGAAAAACAAGTTAAGAATAAAGACAAAGGCCAATCAACGATGACTATGAGTAACCCATAATGGGGGCTTGAAAGAGGAATCAGAAACTTGACATATGAATGGGCTATAGAAGAGCAGGGAATATTAATGAACATGAGGGGGCTTCTTTGGAAGTAAGCAGAGTGGATTGTTTGGAACTCCGTCTCCAGCAGCTGTGCAGTTTGTAAAGATTTTAGCTTGCCTAACTGTAAGGTTAGCTATTAGCTTTGCAGTGGGGAGTATTTAAAAGTACACACAACATATGAAGGAAAGAACCTGGAACCGAGTAGCCTGCTTCATTCCAAGAATCCATCTGGCATGTAAAGAACTGCTTGTCCTACATTAAACCCTGCAGAGTAAGAGCCATTTTTCATATCTCATACCCCTATTTTTGGTTTCAAATAAGACAGCTTACTGAGTTTGGGTAAGGAACAAGACTTTTCAGAACCACCCAACCAAAGGATCCATCTAGAAGGAGCTCTGTGAATCTCAAATGGAGAAAACATGTCGAAGCTGTTTGGGAAATCGGATTAAGAGAAACCTCAAGCGTCCACAAAAGCCCGAAGTCCAGATCCCTAAACAATGTGAGCCTTTAGTCATTTGTAGACAGAGAACAGCGGAAGAGGAGGTGTTAGGGATATGAAAATCTGTGGCTGGGGTCCCCAACATTAAATGACTCATGGTGACAGGGTAAGTTGGTAAGTGAAAGCCAGTCTATTCTTAAGCAAACGTTATCTTTGTTAATAAAGAGCTCGTTTTTGCAGTTTTGGTCCATCTGGAGGCAGCTAAAAGCAAACCCTGCCAAAGGAGTAATCCCTAGATTACCAAGAATTGAGGAGTGCGTGAAGTGTTGTTAAGGCTGGAATTGGTCCTGGATGTCAGGCCCTTTCCCTCCTCCTGGAGCCACTCCCTCTGACACATTTTCTTACGCTCCCCTTTCAAGAGAAAGTGTATGGCAATCAGATCCGCCCAGAGCAGACATGAAGCATGCGGGACAACGGGCTCCCACCTTACCCGGTCCCCTCTTGAGGGACAGCGCAAGGCCTGAGCGCCGGCGCCAACTCGGAGCAGCGCCCTCTCGGTTACTATGGTGATCCCCGGAGGGGGCGGGGCCACCATCCGCAGCTTCCCCGCCTCTGCCCAGACATTTCGAACGCTCCAATTGGGACAGCGCTTTCTTGCCTCTGTCCCGCCCCGTTCGGCTCCTAGTGCAATACGATTGGCCTGGGACGGGCAGCCGGAACCCGGAGGGTACCACCTCCTGACGGGAAGAGCGGGAAAATATGCCAGGCGCTGTGTTAGGCGTGAAGCTAGCGGCGCTGCGGGGAAGCACATGGGTGGCTTTGGAAACGAGTTGCCCCGTGTCCCATACACAACTCCTCGCACCAGTAACTGTTAACACTAGGGATCAAGAGCCGGGGTGCGGGCACAGCGTTTGCGGGCCCCGTCGGCCGGTCCTGCGGGCCGAGGACGCGACCAGGCGTGAGGATCCTGGGGCGCGCTCTCGGGCGGTGAGGATCCGAGGCCAGAGAGGGCGGGCCGTAGCTCGGGGGCGGTGCCAGTGGCGGCGGCGGGAGGCGTAAAGCCCAATGAGCGCGCGCACCGCCCTCGGGGGCGGAGCGTGCCGAGCGCTCCCCGCCCTCCCTTTCGCCCCCGCCCCTCCCCCCGGGCGCCCGGGCCGCAGTGAGTGAGTGGCACTGGCAGCCTGTCAATCCCTCAGCCAAGCGGCCTGCGAGCCCGGTCCGCGGCGGCTGCTGGCAGGGTGCGCGGCTCCGGCAGTGGCGGCGGCGACTTCTCCCGCCCCATCAATCTGCTGTCCGCCCGGCGCGCGGCCCGCCGGGGCCCTCCATCGGGCTCCGCGCCCCGCTGCGCCGGCCCGCCCGCTCCCAAACTTTCCTCCTCCGCCCCCTTCGCTCCTCTCGGCCCTCCCGCCGGCCTTCTTCGCCGCCGCCCGCCGCCGCCGCTCTCTCCCCCGGGGCCGCCGGGGCTCGGATCCCGCCCGGCCGAGGCGGCGGAGGCGGCGGCGGCGGCCGAGGGAGGGGAGTGCGCAGGCTGGCGCTGGGGGCGGCGAGCGTCCCGGCAACTCGGCGGGCGCTGAGGAGCAAGTTGCGCGGGGCCGCCCGGCGGGGCGCGCGGCGGCGCGGAGGCGGCGCGGCGGCCGCGTGAGGGCAGCGGGCGCCGCTGCCTCCGCCTCCGCCACCGCCGCGGAGCCCGGCGCTTCCGCCCGGCGCTTCTCCTGAGCCTCGGCGGCGGCGGAAGCCGAAGCCCGGCGCCGGTCCGCACCGCCTCAGCCGCCGGCCCCGTTGGCCGGGCCGCCCCCTCCCCGCGCGGGCGGGGAGCGCGCGGCCGCCTCCCCCCCCCCCTCCCCCCCTTTCTTCTCCTCCCTCGTCGCCGCCGCCGCCGCCGCTGCCGCCGCCGCCTCAGCCTTCGCCTCAGCCGCCGCCGCCGCCCGCTCCCGCCCGCGCGCGGCGGGATGGACGATCAATCCAGGATGCTGCAGACTCTGGCCGGGGTGAACCTGGCCGGCCACTCGGTGCAGGGGGGCATGGCCCTGCCGCCTCCCCCGCACGGCCACGAAGGGGCGGACGGCGACGGCAGGAAGCAGGACATCGGCGACATCCTCCACCAGATCATGACCATCACCGACCAGAGCTTGGACGAGGCGCAAGCAAAGTTGGTGTCGTCTCATTAAGCATCTTTTGTGTGCGTGCGAGAGCCGGGCCCGCGGCCGAGTCGGGGCCCGGGGTGGCGCCCGGGGCAGGGGCCTCAGCCCTGGGCAGGGAACTTTCTCCGCAAACCGGCAGCTTGCCCGGGCCTCGGGGGGACTTGCCCGCACCCCTCGACGCGGGCGGGAGTCGGCAAAGTTGCTCTTGGGGCTCGGGACAGACTTGGTGCCACGCGGATTTTGTGGTTTTCTCGCCCTCCCCCGTCCGGCCCCGTAGCAGCCCGGCCCCCTCCCACGGATTCAAACCTCCCGCCTGGACCCTGTGCACGCCGCCCCGAGAGGGCCCCGGGCCGTTCTTGCGGGAAGTGCAACTTTCTCCTCTGGCCCGGAGTCGCGGCGCGGGGCTCCACTTGGCCGCGGGACGACCTCGTCGTGCGGCCTGCCGCCCCAGCCGGGAGGGCGCGGGGCGATGGGCGGTTCCCTGGCGGGTCCGGGTGCGGGTGGCCAAGTTCTCGGGGAAGGGAGGGCCGTCTCGCAAACTTTGCCGAGCTGTCACCGCCCGCTGGCCGCAGTCGGCCGGTCGCAGGCGCCGCGCCCGCTCCCCCTGCGGAGGGCGGACGCCGGACGCCGGAGCCCCTCCGCGCCGTCCCCTCCCCCGGGTCGCCGTCGTCTGCCCAGCTATCTAGGCTCCCCGTGCGGGTTCGCGCCCTGCGGTCGCCGAGGCAGCTGCCTGCGGGGCAGATGGGTCGCGCCTCGTTCGGGCTGGAGCTTTAGCCGCCGGAGCTCGCGGGCTGTCGCTAACTAGTCAACTTGAGTTTCTGTTGACTTGCCATGGTTCCAAGGAGCCTTCCAAAATAGAAGGCCGGAATTAAATCTTGGGTCTAACTTAAAGGAAGACGCCATATTATTCCATAGGTGATGCTAATACCTTTGTGTTTTGCTATTTGTTTTTTAGGAAACATGCCCTGAACTGTCACAGAATGAAACCCGCGCTCTTCAGCGTCCTGTGTGAGATCAAAGAGAAAACAGGTAAGAGGCTGCGCCCCGTAGTGGGCCTGGAGACCCCCGAGGTGGGGTCAGAGCTACTCCTTCCACTCTCCAGTTGAGAGCTGCTGCTTTTGGGCACCGCCATCTTTGATCATCCTCTCCTTCCCACCTCCTGATCTTGAGAAAAAACTGCAATAAATCTGGAGTCGATTTCTCAGTTCCGCTCCCGGTATAAAATGAAGTGTAGATGCGGACGGGGCTGGGTCGCTGTCCCCAGGCGGCCGCCCCTGGCTGCAAGCGGGGAGGGGGCCCGGAGCGCCGGCCGCCCTCTCTGGCCGCCCTCTCCCGCTCCTTTTCCCCTTGTTTGTATGTCAGTTTTTAAAAAGGAGCAACGGGAGACTGGATGCCAGGGACTGAGTCCCAGGGAGAAGCATCGCCTGAACTTTGTTTTACTTAGACAGTTCTAAGCTTCAGCTCCACAGATAGAAGAATAGATGCAATTGAACCTACTCCAGTTGGATGTTTGAATTAGTGTTTTAGTTGGGAAGGCTACTTTTGAGAAGCAAGAAAGGGTAATGGTGTGTTTAGGCATATACAATGTATTACATCTATTACTACTTTCATTGAATTTTATGTTTGAAGTCATTACATTGTAAATATGTTTAATATATTTTATAAAGTAGATAAAGGTTCACATTAGCAGGTTAAACAATTTTTGAAGTGTTTAAGGCAGGGAACATATGAGAAGACAGGTTTTACAGAAGTGCTGGAATAAAAACTACACAAACAGACGTTCCTGGCAATTCATTTCAATTTAATTTTCTTGTTAGACTTTTTAAAATTAAAGGTATTTTAGCCTTGAGGTGACAGTAGGAACTCAAGTGGAATTAGAAATTTAATTTAGATGCTTTAGTTCAGATTTGGCATTATCTGTCCTGTATATGGCAAACAAGTGCCTTAAACAAGCTTTACTGTTGATATGTGTGTGTGTGTGTGTGTGTGTGTGTGTGTGTGTGTGTGCGCGCGCGCGCTAGCTATAAGGTATTATAAAGTTGCTGTTTTTTAAGTTGAGGCAAAGAAGAGAAAGTTAAAGTCCAGGATATAGCAATATCCAATATCCAAGTAATGCTTTTTAAAAGATTAAAAGTCATTGTGTTTAAATCGAGTGCACAAATGATAGCACACTGAATATACATGTTAGTTGGTAGAAGAATTGTCCTCCTTTTAAACATATTTTTCACTCTGCAATGCTATTCTGATTCTAAAGGTAATCAAGAGAAGATGATGGGTTGTTGCTACCTATTAAAATATATGCTAAAACCATAATTAACAGAAAATATTGAGATCCTTAAAGAGTAGTTTTCCTGCTTTTCATTCACGTAGTATTCATGGTTTGTAAATGTTGAGTGATTCTTTTAAAGATAGATTTTACATTTTGAAAACCACAGGCATTTTAAATGACTAACTTACTCTGTTGATTTTTAGCTCCCTTTAGGACGCATTGTGATTTAAAATGGTAGATAATTTTTATCTGACTATGAAATAAAACATCAAGCATTACATCTTGAAGATTCTTAGTTTAGAAGCCTAAAAGTGTACAGTACTCAGTAAATTATGTTGCTTAATGTCCAAGGATTTTCTTGCTATCAGGGCTCCACTTCAGTTTCTGCTGACAGCTAAGCACTGGGGTATTGACTATGTTGTGAATATTAAGATTGATTCAACTTACACGGCATTATATTACTAGGGAGACGGGATTGATATTCTTCCCCTATCACCCGCTTCTTGTTATTTGTATTTATTTTTTTGCCGTTTTGAAGTTTTGGCCTAGCCAGTTTGAGAACCAAACCCAGCAAACTGCTTTTCTTGTTTAGACATTTAGCAGCAGGCAGAATTCAATTAGGAGGCATAAGTCCTCTAGTTGCTTATTTGCACAAGACTTAGTTACACCATTCTGAAAGGAAAGTATAGTCAGCCTCATGTCAAAGGTGAGTTACGAAAAAGAAACAAATCTTTTCAGAGTCTGGGATTACTGGCACAGAGAGCTTTGCTAGGGCTCTTGCTATTTAAGAAGCAAGAGGTAGCTGACAAAGGAAATTTTTGTGTTTTGAAAATTGTTTCTGAGGCTTTCAGCGATAACTTGTAAATTAGACCCTCTTTTTATGCTTTGGCCGGCAGATTCAAGTTTGCACGTTATCTCTTTTGTAAAAAGGCAACGGCCGACAAAGAGTAAAGGCGTCTGTCTGGGCAGAGGCATCTTCCTGCCTGCCTCTCTAAGCTCGAGAGGGACGGGGATTTAAGTACCAAGTGATTGATTGGGGTGAAGCTCTTTCTCTCCTCTCCTTTCTCCCCTACTACCCAGAGCTCCACCTCACCCTCCAAAACTAGTCTTAGAAGGAGACAGGGACGCTGGATCTAGTATCCTTAATTTGAAATAAAACATCTGTGTAGACGTTAGTGTTACTAAGGCAAAGAAAGCGGGGCAGCAAATTCCAGGCCTCCCCTCTTCCTCCCCACGTCTGTTCCCACAATTCTGCTTTTGAAACATCATGAACTTATAAAATAAGCATTGTAGAATATCTGTATATTGCATAATGGTTTTTCTTTAGGTCATTTTATTTAGCCTAATAATATAGTATCTAAAGATTAATTCTCTGCAATCTAGAGAAAGTTTACCTAGTCATTTGTAACAGAAACCGGAACATTATGTGATGACTCTATTCTGCATAATGGAGGGGTAGGGGGTTGACTAGTGGGAAGGTGGAGGGGGGAAACTGTCACTTCAATGGATAATGTCATTTCAGTTGTGCTTCTCCTGAAATAAGACAAAATCATTAAAAAAATTTCTGTATTTATAGATCTGCCAGTAGATTTTGAGGTTTCTGATTAGGCAGTGAACACAGCCAGTTCTGATGCACATGAGGGATTTAGTTTGGAAAACGTCTTTTTTCTCTCCTACCAAATATGAAAAGGTATTTTTCCCTTCTGACAGATAAATGGGTGATCTACCACAATTATATTATTTTCTTGTTCAGAGGTAGGGAAAGTATACTTTTCTTATGAGGTGCTTGATTTTCTTGAAAATGTATTCTTTTGTAAAATTCATTGTACGATTATTTTTGGGTAGAAACGTCATCTCTAGTTGAATTGTGATATTTATGCATTTTGAAAGCAACTGAAGAGTTACAGGCTTTGAAGTCAACATATTTGTCTATTTTAAGCTAAGCAACCAGTGAGATAATTGTTGATATGTGAAGATTTTCCTCTTAATTACTTTTTAGTCATATTTTACCATCAATCTCTTATTAAATATCCCTGATGCTTCGAGGTCTCTTCATCTACATACTTATTTTGGTGCATTCCCTCACATCTTTTTGGCCATCTTAATCTGATTGTTGAAGTACTTTTCTTTGTGAAATATTCCATCCTCATAAATCTGCCTTCTTTCCAAAGCCTTTAATTATGAGAGTTCTTTTTTGAGAAATAAATGTATTTTTAAAAATTCTAATGAAAATCTAACATTTTTATATATAATCTGAATCATATTGTGAAAAAAATATTTTGTATTTCAAAAAAAAAAAAATCAACACCACCTTTTCATTTCTAAATGGTAGGTTAAAATACTCTATGTTGATAGCTGCCAACCAAACTCTGATTTATTGCCACCACAAACCCTAAATAGCGTTCATTTACTAGTAATGTCTAATGGCATACATGATGGTTTGCCAGATTTGTGGCCTTTGTGAGGCTTATAAGCAGGACTGACTTGGGAAGATCATAAAACTTAATGAACTTCTCTACTGCAGGAGGTGTCCGCAGGGGAAGAGAAAGGGCTGCTTGGCTGGTTGGGCTGGTTGAAGTATTTTTTATGTTTAAGGAGAAGAAAATGACTATTAAAAATGCTTTACTTTTAAAGGACCCTCTTCTCCCCCCAACAAGTCATAACAATTTTAGATATCAAAACTGGATCAAGAATGTAGCTTGTTATGTGAGTTTTTATATGCATTTAGAATGTGATATATATGATTAAACCTTTTATCTTTAGTGCTATCAGTATGACTAGATTTCAGGGACAGAGCAGTGCTCTCAATGAACACCTCTATTTAATTCTGACCCTACAGGCTTAGAGACTCAATGGAGTCTTCTTTTTCTCTTTTCTTTTTATGCTTCAATTTTAAAATTTGTTTTTTTTTTCCTTTGTACAGTGCCGTGTAATTCTTTAATTCTCAGCGTATAAAAACCAGATATTCCATGAAGTGAAAATTTAGCAGGAAAGATGAAAAACGTTATATATGAGACTAAATGCAGTTATGTATATTGCATGTTTTCTTTTAAGTTGCTCTTGAAATTATTTCCGATGTAATGATCATTATTTGTCCCAGACTTTTAAAAGCAAATGCACTGTTCCATACATGATTCATTGTTGTGTTTTAATGAACTTACTTTCTAGTTTTTAAAAACTTTTTATTATGGACAACTGGAAACATAAAAAACATGTAGAGAGAGGAGAAACTTGAACCCCCATGAACTAATTCCCCACTTTCAGCAGCTAGCAACACTTGGCCAATCTTGTTTTCTCTGTAACTCGCACCCTTTCAAAATTATTTTGAAGTGAATTTTAATGGACTTTTAGCACTTTAAATTTCATATCAGTTTTAGACACATTATGTCTTGTTTACATTGAAAATATTAAATAAAGAGGAAAAAGTCAGTCTATCTCAGAAATGTCGTAAATTATATTGCTTTATCACAGATTTTTCCTTAAAGCAATTTAAGAATATTTTATTGACTTTTTTCCTATTTTTTATAGATTTGTATCACTCACTATAGCTTTTTAATGAGGTATTGAGGGAAGATGTAGAAGAGTGGTGTTTTGCTAACTTTCTTACCTTCCTCTCATTCTTTCAGACAGTAGATGCAATATATTCGTAAAAAAATCTAGAAAAAAACCCTCCTACCATACTGGTTTAGAACTTTATGATCTACAGTATCAAGTATTATATTATCTTAAATATATGGGGGATATCTTAAAACCCTTTTTT